TTCCCTCCGCGTCGGAGCGCCCGGAGCTGACGCCGGCCCCGGCCCGGGGAGCCTGTGCGGGGCAGCACCGCCCCTCACGCCGCCGCCTCCTCCCCTTCGCCCTCCCACTCCCACCCCCAGCCAAGGCCTGCTGACCGCGCCGAGAGCGGAGTTGGACTGACCGCGGCGGCTCGGAGAGGGGGAGGCAGCCCCCGGCCCGCCCCTGGGACTGGGCTCGCCGCCGCTGAGGGGATTGAATCGAGGGTGGAGGCGTGGTGAAAGGGAAGGGGCGCCCGCCGGGGGAGTGAGACGGGGGCCGAGCCGGAGAGCCCGACGCCGAGAAGGAAACGGGGAGGAGGATGTCTCGCCGAGCGGCCGGCGCCCGGATCAGCCCGTGACTCTTCCAGCCGCGGGCCTCAGACCCCAGCGCGGACTCGGACTTTGTCTTTGGGGGCTCGTGCTCTGCCCTTCCCGGTTTCCGGCAGGATCCCAGAGGAGCCGGCGCGCGTCTGCCCTCCAGCCTTCCTCACCATGTCTAAGATGCCGGCCAAGAAAAAGAGCTGCTTCCAGATCACCAGTGTCACCACGGCCCAGGTGGCCACCAGCATCACCGAGGACACCGAGAGCTTGGACGACCCGGACGAGTCACGCACAGAGGACGTCTCCTCCGAGATATTCGACGTTTCTCGGGCCACGGATTATGGCCCTGAGGAGGTCTGCGAGCGCAGCTCCTCCGAAGAGACCCTTAACAATGTTGGAGATGCGGAGACTCCGGGGACGATCTCCCCAAACCTCCTCCTTGACGGGCAGCTGGCGGCTGCGGCGGCTGCTCCCGCCAACGGAGGAGGAACCGTTTCGACCCGGAGCATGGCCGGGTCGCTCTCCAGTACCCTGGCGCCGGCCGTCACCTCGGCCCCTGCCTCTGGGACACCCGGCGGCCCCCCGGTCGCGGGCTCATCCTCCGGGCCAGGGACTTCAGTCCCATCTCAGCCCCCCACCACTTGTAGTTCGCGTTTTCGCGTGATCAAGCTGGACCACGGGAGCGGGGAGCCTTATCGACGCGGCCGATGGACGTGTATGGAATACTATGAGCGGGATTCAGACAGCAGCGTCCTGACCCGGTCCGGGGATTGCATTAGACACAGCAGTACTTTTGACCAGACTGCGGAGCGGGACAGCGGTCTGGGCGCCACCGGAGGGTCGGTGGTGGTAGTGGTGGCCTCTATGCAGGGGGCGCACGGGCCCGACTCGGGAACTGACAGCTCCTTGACTGCTGTGTCACAGCTACCCCCGTCGG